TTTCAGTCATTTCATCCTGTTGGTACATTACACTGAAGTTCATAGAAGGGCCTTTGACAACAGAAACAACATTTTGGGCTTAGTGACAACGTGTGGGGTGATCTTATATGGATGTGGGAACATTTTCTGGCTCATGCTTTTAGGATCTCTGTGCGATAATCAACAACTTCAAACAGCTGTTTCATGCTCACAAATCCAGGATGATAAAAAAAAATGTTGTTTATGATAAAAATAGATGATAAACTACCTTGTAAATTCTACTGTGCATTCTTTTGAAGTGCAAATTCAGTCTCCAGTTTTTTCTCTGCCATATGTGGTCCACGATACCGAACAACAAGGCAAATCTGAACCATGCTGCTACCATTATAGATGAAAACGATTAAAATTCATATTCTTGTGGATTCACTGTCTAAGTACGGTGCGCCATGTGGCCGAATTTGTCACTCTGTGCAGCAGTGTACTGAGTCATGGGGTTTTTGTTTCAGCTCCTTTTATTCCCGTTCCAACATCTCATTCTAGATACGACTCAGAGATATTAATTAGTTTCTTTCAGGGAGCCCGGCAGGTCTTTTGAACTGTCATCAGAAGATTTTAAATAAAAGTCTACGGATGCTGAAGTGGCCGTCAGGACCTGTGGGAGAAGCTTAATGAAGGAACCAGATGTGACCTTGGTACCTTCCATCACAGAGCCAGATCAACAGCGGGTCCTCCTGGCACTGCTCAGTTTTAATCAAACATAATACCAAAAATAGTCTTTACCAGCAGATGGCACTCTGTCACAAGGACAGTCAATGAGGCCAAAAGAAGAGTTAGAAATAGAGCTCTGGTACAGGGAATTAGTGTCAAAAAAAAATGCAGCATCAAGGTTTAACAGCCACATACTGTCTGTGGAAAATCTCTCATTTACCCAAGGAAGTGAATTAAGCTGCTAACAAAGCAGAAAACAGCTTGATCTGTTACATACAAACTTCCCGTTGAATGAAATCCTGTGAACCATTTATTGCATCTTCTCTTTATTTGGGGGGGGGGGGGGGTTCACATAGGAGGCGATTTCCCTGCATTTTACAACCTTGCTTCAAGGCTGCGCTTTCAAAATACCTCCCGAGGCAGAGATTTGTTATAAAAAAAAAAAGAAAAAAAAAGGAGATAAAATATTGATGTTGTTCTAATTTTGTAAGCCTGTTTGGTGAATAATTGATTGCTAGGGGAAATGAATTTGTTTTATTTGCAGCACCCTAATGCTGTTTTATTTAAGGGGTTTTCATACATGCTGTGAGCCTTTATTGTTTCTCAGAGGTTCAGTGAGTGGGAACAATCTGTTTCTGGAGGACTGTAAAAGACAATTGATCGCGCCACCTTTCGGTTAAATTCACAGCTAAAGATGATGTCAGTTGATCCGCTTTGTGTTATTGCTTCGCTGTAGTGCAACTGTTTATCTAAATCATGTTGTGTATCTTAATAGGCCGTGTTGAGTTGTTCCTGGGTGCAGATTTTTCATCTCCTGTAAATTTGCATTTGCTTTTTCAGCACAATTATTGGCCTTGTTTTTTTCTGAGCGATTGCTTTTCTGTGAAATCACACATGCAAAACAATGCCAGCAATCAACTGTACGAGATATTGTTCTGTGTTTTTACACCATCGTATTGTGAATGCTGGTGTGACTTCATCATACCAATTCTTTTATGTAGGTGTTACCATTCTTTCAGCCCTCTGAAAGGATTCGTGTTGGAGCCATGTTACAGCGGTTCTCCAAGACAGATATTGGTATATAAATTGCTCTGACAGGGAGGCTTGTTTCCTGTTGTGCAGCAGCACCAGGGGCACAACACTCCTCCTTATTCAAGACACCTGATCAAAGCCCATGCAGGTAGATCAAACTGCTCCTCCATTTTTAATGAAAAAAGCCCCTCACTGAGACATATATATCATGCCATGCATTTTCCCCTCAGCCTGCCCCCGTGACGGTACAGATAGCCATTGGGGAATTGAACAGTCTGTGTCGGTTAGAGCTTGGGCTAATGTGAAGAGCAAATTATTGACCTGAAACATGGTTGAAACAAACCATTTAGAAGAAATATTGATCAAAATAGGTGCATTCACCAACGGAAACGGAAGCAGGTAGGGGAGTGTCGAGGTCACTTGCACTCTTGTTATTACAATAGTCTATTAATATTAATTTGCCTACATCCCAAACGCGACACAATACACAATACTGAATTTCCCATGCAAATGTGCACCAATCCATTTACTGAAGCTGGTGTGCAAATATATTTATAACATCTTTGTCATCATATGATTGGATGTTGCTAGACCCTGAACCCGAGCTGTTTTTATTGCAGAATGTGAATATGAGGTGGGTATAAAAAGAGGCCCCTCTCTTTCCCTCAGGATCTGCGGATAGCAGCTACATTAGCCCCAAGGACAGTAGGTCACTGCAGGGAAAGGTCACCTCTGCTTTTCTATTAGAAACACACCGCTCCAGTATTTACCTTCCTCTTATATGTAGTTCTTATCTGAGGTCTCTTTCCGCTTGATACTCAACCCTGCCCTGAAACTCAGCACCTTTGTCCAGGAAACAAAGGTGGTAAGAGTAGCTCCACAGACTGAATTATTAGTGATATATTGTATGTAAAGCAATCCTACAATTGATTTGTATAGCTCTTCGATCAGCATTATATTGCATAAAAGTGTGCACCTGTTCAGTGTATTTTTTGCTCTATGGATTCTGGACATTTTATATCTGAAGAGGCAACTGAAGTGAATCTGGTTGCACAGCTTGAGAGATGGAGACCTCGCAGACACAGCAAGAGTGAGCGGGCCTCACTCGGATTACATGGTCTTTCCAGGAACATCAGACGTCGCCAGATATCAAAGGAATTCATATACAGAGGAGAGAAATGGGTTGTCAGAGCTGTGACAACTCTCAACTGTTATCTAGGAGCCACTCGCTGCATTATTGCTCCGTGGTAATGAGAATTATGACTGTGCTGCTGAGCGGCAGCAAGGTACCAATAGAAAGTTGAGATATCTGGGGCTTAAAGTGTTGATTGGTGTGGAATAATTATAACTGAAGAAGTGCTGACTTGTCAAGAGGACTGAATAGGTAGAAAAGCCATATATCACTCTTTTTGTATGAGTGTATTCTCAGATAGCATACAGGAAGTGTGCTGAAGGAACAGACTGATAAGGGCTATTAGCGCATATCTTTACAGCTGCATCTTCTTTCTCTTTCTTTCTTTCTTTCTTTCTTTCTGTCGTCTGCTTTTGGCCAGTTGAGAGCCACAGAAATAAGCTGTAAACATAACAATTATGACCTTTTAAGCTTTGATGGCAAAACTGTTAGCAAATCACTTGGGGTCCAATATTCCCTCTTCTTGTAGCTCTGTTTTGGTCTGGCTGCTAATTCATCACCAGCTAAATGTAGACATCTTTTCCTAACATACAGCAAGCAAATGAACTCTAGCGGATGGAAACTAGAATGATTATTTTTTGTGAGTTGTTGGTCTATAACGTTTCATTTTATATATCATCATAGCCTATAGGCTGTATTAAGAAGTGATACCGATTAACAGTCAATTAAGCCACTGTGAGAATAATGGAGTTATGTTACAATCTAACTAGCATCTAAAGCCACTAGTCGAGATTAAATTCATAGAGACATCTCTCAGCCTGTTCGCTGATGCACACAGTGGGTTGGACACAGTAGGTTAGGTTAACACTGACTCAAGCTGATGTTCACTCACTCACTCGTCCGCACTGCATCTAGCTTGGAATCTGTGTAACTAATAGCAGCCTGCATCTGTAGGAAACAAAGATGAGGGAGGTGAGACCCTTAAAAACTTAAAAAGGGTACCTTAGCTCACAGCAAGCCTACTGGTTAAAGTGCGCACCACCTAACTGCAACGTCCATGGATCAACTCCCAGCTGAGGGACCTTTGTTGCGTGTCATACCCCATGATTTCTGTCTGCCTCAAATAAAAGGTAAAATGCCCAAACAAATAAAAGTTGCCAAGTAGAAAAACCCAAACAACGAGCTGAGTGGAATGGCAGGTTCATCCCTTCTAGTGGCCCCTTTAGTCAGTTAGTAACATGATCCCTTGTTAACATAAAAAATAGGATTGTAGTTACGTTAAAATGAGTACAACGAATGGGAACTTGATTGTGCAACCCTGCCTCCCAGACACTATGTTTCATCAAGTTGGTTTCCCAGTTACAGTACGTCACAGTGAGAATCACTCCTTGGTTTATGTTCACAAGCAACATTTTTTGAGTCACTGCAGGGAGCTGGACTGGGGACCTGGATTCCTCACTTCTGTGGTTTTGCTTATATGCAGCTGAAGCACTTTGGTTAAGGTTAGGGAGACTTCATGAGTTTGCGTAAATGTTTGGAGACTTCATGAGTTTGTGTAAATGTTTGTTAACCTCATGTTGAAAGCCACTGCAGACTTTTTCTGTGTTAAACGTGATCTTTCCCTAAACTTAATGAAGTGCTGTCAGTGAGCATATTAATTATACGTTCTATTGCCAGTAATATTAATAGACACAATTTCCTCATTATGTTAACAGAAAACATGATTCGGTCAACATTACAAATTTCCTTCAAAACATATTTGCTGTGTTGGGGCGTCAAGTGGCGCAGTGGGTTGAGCAGGCGCCCCATATGTCGAGGCTACAGTCCTCGCTGCAGTCGGCCCTTTACTGCATGTCATTCCCCCTCTCTCTGTCTCTCTATCATAAAGGCATAAAAAGCCCAAAAAAATATACTTAAAAAAAAAAAACATATCTGCTGTTGTATATAAACATAATTTCTGGGCGACAGGACTGGACTGTGTGCGTCACATTTGTGCCAGAAGTCATCCATCAAACTAGGAAATAACATAAAACAATAATATCAGAAATATGTATATTCCACTCTTCTACTGGAATCGAAATTGTAAACCTATAAATAGCATTACAGCACATAATCATTACACATTTATTCATCCACTTTTTTTCCTCAAAAGTGTGTTATGTACATTCCACCTGGCCTATACACAAAGCAAGATACAGGTGGCGTGGATTGCATTAAGGTTTCAATTGACACTGTCACTTCAGCCATCCGAGCATCAAAAGGTTCCCTCCTTGTCCCCGTCAGAAACATGTTTGTCAAGACAGAAAGAGAAAATGTCGAAACCTTACATAAGATTGTCACCCAGTTAGGAGAACATCAGTGAACTGGCCAGAGCTCTGAGTCTTCACAAGAGACAGAACAAAATGACTTTACATTCTCTTACAGTGTTTTTATGACAGTGGCACTGAACAGAATTGAATTACTAATCTATAGATGCCCAAGTTTGGCAGTATGCAAAATGTTGAGCTTACAGTGTAATAAAGATACTCACAATCCTCAGGTTGTCTATTCTAGTCAAGTCCGTACCGATTAAAATACTGAATAAGGCCATGGAAGCCACTGACTCTAGTGGTAAGTCGTGATGAAATTATTAGCAGTCCATGTAGGGGAAAAAAAAAAGCAAAACCCACTCTTGCCACCAGCTGGTATGGAGGCTGGATAAACATGAGCTTTAAGTGCATCTTGTCTTTCTCCCCCATGAGTTGCTTTCGTCCTGCAGACACGAGTCTCCTGCACGCAGCTTCTAAAAGGTTAAAACCTCCCATTTCCTCCAGCTGCTTGTTCCTTATCCCTGTCCGTCTCCTCTGCAATGGAGCAGTGCTGTTGGATCACAGAGGGACTCAGCTCCAGCAGGGAAGAGTTAAAGGATTACAAAACCCTTCTATCAGCACATACACACTTCCTTGCTGCAAAAATCTCTCCCGTAGTGCTGCTTGCTCTTCAACCGTTGTGCGATTAAGACCCTGAAGAAGAGATGAGCGTTCACAGCTGTGCTGCTATAGTCTCTTATTTACACTATTATTACATTCATGTTCTTCAGCCACTGTCAGTTTAAACGTACACACAGTATTACAGTAGTAAGATGAACCTGCTGTATTTAACGTATAAATGTTCATAGCAAGTTTTAACATTTGATAATCTGATACTGACCAATCACAATAACTTATATTGCACATTTTGTAATGTTCACACCAACTGTTTCACCATAATGAACAAAACTGTTAAAGCTTAAAGTCTTCGGTCCGTTACTAAGATAGACACAGTCTCCGTCAAAACGACTTCCATTATTGCAAGTTTACAGATACCCATCTTTCCTTTTTTTATTCTCTGACCAAACCACTAGTAAATCCACTCCTCCTGAGTTAAGTTAAATGAGCTTCCAGTATTTACTATCCAACCTGCTTCAGTCACTACAGCATCATAGCACTTCATACTCCTCATTAGACTACATTCAAATGAGGAGAGGGCCAATGCTTGTGCACTGATCGTTACTTTCCCAGCCAGCAAACAGCTCCATCCCTTGGCTCAGACTGCGTTCTGCTCCAGTAAGGGCGGATGCTCTTTAGGTTGCTGCAGCGGTTCGGACCTCTGGTCCTGCTGCTGCTCAGGTGGAGGTGGCTGCTGTTGTGGTGGATCAGATTTCAGGATTTCCGTCTGAGTGAGCTGCGGCGGTGGCGCCTGCTGTGGCTCTGGATTGGGCATCTCTTTCCTGTCGCTGGGCTGAATCTCCAGAGCTGGTGTGTCCTTGCAGCAGAAGTACTGCTGCCAGATTTTCCGGAAGGCTGTGCGGAACTTCTTAATGCGGAAAGCGTAGACAATTGGGTTGACAGCGGAGTTGCCGTGGGTGAGCAGGATGGCGATATAGAGGAGGACTATGGGCGTCTTGCACTCAGGGCAGAAGAGTGTGATGCAGTTGATGATGTGAAGGGGGAGCCAGCTGCTAGCAAAGAGAAAAAGGACCAGAGCCAGAGATTTAGCAAGATTCAGCTCCTTGTCATAGTACTTGTTGGGGTCCGTGTGACTGGTGGTGATCTTCTTATTGTTAAGTTGCTTGTGAATCATGTAGAAGATCTCTGCATAGATAACCAGCATGAGAAGCAGGGGCGGCAGCACCCAGCCGAAAAAGTTGAAATACACCATGTAGTCCATGCTGATGACGTTTTCGAACTGGCAGGTGATGATGAGGTCAGAGCTGATGGAGCCGTTCTGCTGGAGGCGCCCCAGGTTGTTCCAGCCTAACATGGGCGTGAGTCCCACGATGAAAGCCACCGTCCAGCATATCACCACTGCCAGCGCCGCTCGCCGAGGGGTCACCACCCGCTTGTACCTGCAAAAGCAAACAACGCAGCATCATGTCAGCACTTTCTCTCACAGAGCTGCCGGAGCACGCATGCTTTCTTTTTTTTTTACTTCATTTTTCATTGTGGCAGTGTGCTTGGGCCGACAAAAAATATGATTCACAAGGGAGAGTTATAATTTAAAACACAAGCCCCTTGACACTTTACACACAGCTCCTTGGAGCACCATATGCCCCCCTGTACAAGACAGACTCTGTAAACCTTTATATGAACACCTTGCCCTTTTCATGCTTATTTCGTTCAGTACAAAACTGAACTACAGTTTTTAAAATTGGCTACAGCGGTACAGTAGACACAAGCTGCAGTACTTGGCATGCTACAGCAGCTTTACTGGTTTGGCTTTTTCATTGTTTGTAGTGTTTTATGGGAAGGAAGCAGGAGGTAGAGGAAAGATGCAGAGGCTCTAAAATCTTATCACTGCTGCACTGTGACCAAGAAATGACACAGAGAGACTCAGTCTGATACTCGCCTAAGGCAGGGATGAAAGCAGTCATCTGATCCAGCATAGCTGGGAAGTGTGTAGAGTAACAACTGATTACTTTTGGAGCACTAATGGTTGGTATTTACAGTGTCTGATGTTGTAATTGCGGGGGAAAATGTTAACATTACAATAACCTGACCTTTGCTGAAGTGTAGCCTGAAGCAGTAGAAAATGCTGCAATTTAGCCCGGCTGTCACAGGTGCCACATGTTGGATTAGTATTGATTAGGGATGTATGTGTTAAGTTAGGTTCTGTGTCAGAGGCGCAGCAAGAAGATCGTTATTTACACACTGAGCCTGGGGACCGGCCTGCTCGGAAGAGATCAGATACTGATCTAACAAGAGGAGTGTGTGAAAAAATAAAAGAGAAACAGCAACACTTCATGGACTCAGAAGTTCATTTCTGATCTATATAACAAGTAGTTATATAAGTTAATAAAGTGTGTTATATAAGTGTAAACAAGAATAAAATGTAGCCGTGACATACACAACTATCTACTAAGCTTGGATGGTTTTAAACAAAAGAAGACTGAGAAATCAAAAGCTAAAATGCACAATGACGTGCTATCATAAGCCTGGAAGACTGACTGGTGTCTTAAACGGGAGATTAAAGTCTGAGGCTATCACAGACAATATCCTCAGACAATAAATTCCCAGCTTATCTTTTTTAGCCTTTCACCACCACTGCTCAGCCTTTTGTTTCTGCCTGGCATGATAAACCACCGGTGGTCCTGTGCATCAACTACAAAGAGGGGAGACTGAACACCGCTGACAACAGACCTGAACTCTTTTTGTGCCCTCCAGAAACACAAAAAGAGAAAGGGATATATCCTGGATACAGCCCCACCCACGAGTGTACTAATTCTGTCAATGCACTACTCTTCCACACATATTAGAGATCCTGAGGACAGAGAGACTAATTAAAGCTGTTAGTTGATCAGCCATGCTCTGGTTAGCTGTCAGCAGGCTACTAGTGAGTCAGATCTATATGCACATACAGGGACCGGCATCCTGTGAAGTGAAACATGACCCATGAGGAAATCAATGCCTACAGGAACACAGCGCTGGAGGTCTACAGTGACTTGTGTTGTGTGTGAGGCTCAACATCATCATCATCATCATCATCATCATCACCTTTCCACGTGGCACATGTTCTGAGAATAATCTATAGGCCTATGCCTCCTTACTTTCATGCGTTGCTGCACGTGAAACCCCCCATTACCTGGTCGGGATCTTGACCCTGAGATAGCGGTCAATTGCAATAGCCAGGAGGGCCAGGATTGAACTTTGAGTCAGCACCAGCACCGTGCACGCCACGAGCAGGCAGCTGTAAAAGTGAGTTTGAAGTCCGATGCTGATAGTAATGGCCAAAGGGATGACGAGGGCTCCTACAGCAATATCCGCCAGAGCCAGGGAGACGATGAAACAAAACGTGGTGTCTCGCAACGATTTATTAATTTTCACCGCCCAAACCACCATCACATTCCCGATCACAGACGCGAGTGCAATCACCACCTCCATCCCTATGTAGAGCGACTCTGCTGAGAAAAGTGCTCCGGGCATCCTCGCAGATGATTATGTCCTTGATAAGAACAAGATTGATTTCAATGAAGCAGCGCTATGAGGAGCCAACACAGCACTCCTTGATTTTTTTTTTTTTTACTGTGTGTGTGTCACTAGGCTACAGTATTTTCCCAAATGTGCCGTGCGTCCATCAGTTCCACGGTGCCCACACTCTCCTGGTTATCGCGTGGAAGTTGCAGGGAAAAATCCAGTTCTTTTTTTCAAGGGAAGAAGCGCGTTAAGCAGCAGCAGCAGCAGCAGCATGTCTAAGGTTTCCTTTGGAGCAGGTGTTGTGGTCTGGAGGCTGTGGTGCGTCGCTCCTGCTCTGTGCCCTGCGCCTCCACTTGGCTGAATACACCTGCTCCTGGTGAGAGCAGCATCCTTCCCGTGCGCTCCGATTTATCCAAGAGGGCGCCTTATCTTCAGCAGTCTGCGTTTTCTTAATCTAACAAAGCGGGTTTTAACAAAGCAAATAAACAATCTTGTGAGGAAAAGCGAGCACAGTTGCAGCTCCTGTGCAGGCGGGTGCTCCTTTCTCTCTCTCCCTCGTTGTGCTTTCAGTAAGAGCAATAATGCTGCTGCTTAAAATAGCAGTGTGATTTTTCTCGCCTTTTTTTTTTTTTTTTGTTCAACACTTGCTGTCTTTGTCTCTGTAAAATATGTAATCCTAGTTTCATCCGAGGTTATTTATTTCTTGTGGTGGGTGCGACAGCTTCATTTATGATGCAGAAATAAATATATGTCGCTGTTGCCTTCTGCGGGACCGTCCCATGGAAGTCAGGTAGCGCAGAGGTGATTTGAACGCATTCACTTTCTGTTTAAAGCCATGCACGCGTTTCTCCCACGCCCCTCCAAATGCTAATGGACCTTGCTCACTTGCCCATTGTTCTGATAAAAAGGTGAGGCAGTGAACTGCCACAGCTGACAGAAACATAACACAGATAAAGCTATTGAAAACAGTAGCAATCATTGTGGCACATATACATGTTCCTAAGTGATAGAGGACTGAGTGAACAGTGTTGAAACACATGATTCAAAGCCCACTTGTTTTTCCCCTTTGCCCATATACGCTTCCTTCAGTTCAAAACACCTCAGGGAGGCATCTGTAATACAAAAATTTGTAAATCTATAACAGCGAGACTGGAAACCTTATGACTGATTTAGATTCATTGATCAGCCTTTTAAAAACATCTGCAGCTTTCCAAGAGGTCTGTGAGAAAGACATTTCCTTCTCCTGACTTCGACCCCAGTGACACAGTAACCAGTCTCTGAGAAAAACACACGCAGCACGTTGAGCAGCCAAGCACTGCAAACATACAGGAGTGAACTACAGCACTGACATCTTGGGCTCCCTCGCTGGGGTTCAAAGGTCAACATGCAGCAGGAAAGCAGCCTGAGCTCTGACCGTGGCAGGTTCCAGGCAGGAATGACTGTGCACACTGGATGTGAGAGGGTCCCACATGGCGAACTGTGTTCACTCACTGTAACTTATGTAATATGGAGGAAGGCGGAGTGGAGGTCCTGAGCCCCGGCCGAGCAGCGGTGGCATGGGATGGGACGAAATGTAAAGCAGGATAACAGTCAGCGTTCATAGACAGTGCATGACGACGGGACAGTCAGCAGTCAGCAGGAGCTCCACTGATGGCAGCTTCCATCTGTGACCAGCGTTACAGTCGGAGGCGTCAGCGTGAGGCATAGAGGTCAGCCAATATGCGCAGAGGAAGGAAGCAGCCATATGGTCTCATTGCAGTGATTGGCATCTGACCCACTTGTGACATTTTAATGAGCGTAATCATCATGGTAACGCATGAGAAATCATCCATTACAGAGAAACTGGTGAGAGCTGGCGCGCTTAGGGCAACGTGGCTGACAATCAAGAGAGATTCTGAACATTTTCACTATCAAGGTTGCATTTCATTCCTTCTTTGCACTTTTTCAATTAGGTATCAATCTGTATGACAGCCACTGTTACATTATGTCAAGCCTCAGCAGCGAGTAGCACAGGGATCCAGACAGAGGCTTAATCCGTCATTTTAGGCTGTTGTTTTGTCATTGCAGCTTAGAGACTCAGAGCAGGGAGCACAGTCATGCTCAACATGGAGAATGCAAGCAATATAATGCTGTTTGTGCTTCTCCACAGTCACTATTTTCACTGAGGACATCACTGCGTCACTGTATTCAGACTTCCTGAAGCTGGACTTTCTTTCCTGTCCAGGTCCTTCCAGGGATGAATTTCAACAACCCTGAAGTACGACTACTACTTCTATGACACACAGTTCAGTCACATTAACTGTCTTGTCCACAAAGACTGGAAATAAGCAAACGATTCACTAAATGTTTGTTAGGTGTTTCAATCTAGAAACAGATTTTACAGTTCAGCGCACTTTTCCTGCTGAGCCCTGCTGAGCTTGTAAAGCGCATCAACTGTGTTTGTTCTGATTATTTACAATTTATATGAAGGCTTCAATTGCCTGGATGAAGAACCCAGCACAGAGCCATGCACATATTCAAATGAGAAAAGATCACGTAGCATCTTCCTCCCCAAGTGTCTTGTCTGCTGACCTGGGTTCAAAAACAATATTGTTCAGTCATTTAAAAAAAAAAAAACAAATAAAAACTGCAGTGGTTCTCTCAGTGGACGACTGAACCAAACGGCAGCAACATTATTAAAACCGACAAAGACTTGGGACATCGTCCTATTAGCCAGGTCTCCTTCCAGGAAAACAGTTTAAGTGTTTCAAATAAGGCAGGAGACATCGAGGAATAAAATTGCAGTGTTATTATATGGGACACTCCAGGAACAGGAGTAGAACAGCACAAGATGGATAGCCCGCTCAGAAGACTTTCAATGAAAATCTCAGATAGGCAATAAGAGAGCACTCAAGCACTCTCTTGTATCCCATGGACAATCGAACAAGCACCCGGGAAGCTGCTACTCTATTACAGCTGGATGGGACTGGATGTGGCCCTCTGTAATTTACATGGAAATCCTCCAGGAAAAAAAAAAAAGCAATAGATCAGATTTTCAGATTTTTTCAGAAACACAGTCATTGACTCAGCTTACACAATTAGTATAAATTGCTATAAAATGGGATATTGGTACTAGAGGTCATAGTAAATAGCTGTACCATACCATATCAGAGAGTGAACACATATACAGAAGACAGAATTTATTGCCTCATGAATAATAGATTTCATAGCACTGAACAGGTGACTTTATGGATGGAAACACCTCTCATTTGATCTCTGGAGCACACAACAAGTACTTTAATATTTTTGGATTTTCCATTTATACTTAGATAAAACTACCTTGTGGACATACTGATTTCAGTGTAAGAGCTCCTCTCAGAGTTGCCAGCTGGCTGCCCCACATCATCTCGTCTGCTCATGGCTCACAATGTGCCCGGGAAATTAACCACCACACCCACTTGAAGCTTGAGCTGACAGAGTGAAAATGAAAAATGTCAACAGCGAGCTCAGCAGCTTGCTGTCTGGCATCACCCACCATCAAAACTGAGATATTTTGATGTGTGGGTCTCTCCATTTGCCCTGCTGATGAGGTTTTGCCAAATAACATACTTTACTGACTGGGCCATAGCCAGGATTTAAAAAATACTGAGGTCATGAACTCTCTAAGACAATTATTACTACCCAGCGAACAAAGTCTGCAAGATTTTTCTCATTATTTAAATTATTTCACATCTAATTATCCATTTACCCTTTTTTTTTTTTTTTTGTAACCGTGCTCTTCCTACAGATGGTCTAAATGCTGTTACAAAGCCTTCTCCACACTGCCAGGAAAACACTTCTAATAACAAAACAGTAGCCTGGATCCCCTGGTTTTGGACATTATTGAATATTTTGAGTCCAGAAAGTCATAATCAAGTCATGTGGAAATTGTATGTAGCTGTAGATTGTAAACTCCTACTCAGGACATTAAATCCCCCAAGTTTCCAGAAGCAATCACAAGGACATGGCTCTGTCTCAGGACACTAAACTTAAAGGGGTAATTCAACATATTTGGAAATATGCTTATTCCCTTATTTATAAATTGTTTCTTTAAGTTAAGTATAAAGAATGGAGACAGAAAGAAACAGCTCTGTAGAAAGTTTGTAAATCCACCTATTCAGCACCTCTAAAGCTCATCAATTTACATCTTGTGTCTTGTTTTTTTTTTTTTTTTTTTAAATGACATAAATGACATTGTAGTTGCCTGTTCCTCGAAACAGTCACGATGTATTTCACAATTGAATGACACTGTTGTTTAAAGGAGCTATTTGTACGTTTTATTATTGCTACATAGCTAACATTAGCATTAACAGCTATTTACTTTTCAGTATTGCTCAGATCTTCAGCCATTGTTGTGTTGTGTTTACATTACAAGAGGTTATAATACGCCCTCAGAGCAGCCCTACTTCTTCATGGCAGCCTGGACTTTACAGCGACTTAGTTTCAAGAACTGACGAGACGGGCTGACCGGGCCGGGGCTAGCTGGTTAGCATGCTAACTTCAGTAGAAGAAAAGAAGTGATACAAATAGAAGCAAACAAGAGTCAACATTGGTGATGCTTTCCACTGCTGGAGACAGCTCTTGGCGAGTAAAAGAATGACATTTGATACTGAACTCTGGTCAGTAAACAGCTGTTAATGCTAACACTGGCTATGCAGCAGCAGTAAAACTTACAGATAGCTGCTTTAAGAGATAGTCTGACATTTTGAGAAACACGCTGGTTCTCTTTCTTGCTGAGAATTAGGTGTTAGATTGATCGACAACAGACAATGTCTTGGCTTTAGCCTCATATTTACTGTACAGTGAGAACTAACTTTGTGAACATTCCTCTAACAATGTCTTTCTCCTTACATATCTGTATGGGAAAGTAGGCTAACAAGCATTATAGTTATGTCTGTATGTTTCTGGGGTAGGTTGCTTTAAGATTATTTGTTCTCCTTTCACAGGTTTCCTCAGTAGTTGGAGCATAATAGGGGATTCCCACATGTGTTTTTGTCACTGTATGTTTATAAGTGTGGGTGCTAAAATGTGAATAGGAGCTTGACTCCTACAGAA